AAAAAAAAAGAAAAAGTCAATCACAAATTTATATCAACAGAAATTCCATCGAAAAGTCTTATTTCATTTACCGTGATGTCCCTCGGCTGCTTGAAAATCCTTTAAACTCCGCTTCTTCGGCTCTGGCGTCCGAAGGCAGAAATATCGCCCTACTTTGATTTAAACATGAAGTTCCTCGAAGGAAGATTTCATCGCTTTAAGCTCTTCTTTCCCAACATGCCGGCAACTGAGTATTCTTTGTAACTTTTTCATGCCATTTTAAATACTTGAAATGTGTGTTATAACTCCGATAATACAAAAATACGATTTTGAAAACGAAGTACATTACGAGCGCGGCAACCATAATTTTGAGTTAAAATTTGATTTCATATCTGAGTAAAATTTCAGCTGACCAATGCTACGAAGCTATGACGAGTTCAAAATTGCTTGTCATTAATATGCTTTACGCCACCGCGGAAAAATCCACTGGTAAATTTCCGCCAGGCGGGAAAGTCCTTCCAAACGAAGAACCTGACTATATGGAAAAATCTAGTATTGAAGGACTTTGAGAAAATCTAACTGTTCCGCCATATAAGTAAGTATGCCCAATAAAGATTCTATTTTAAGTAGTTTACTCGCAGTTTATGTCAGAACGGGTGGACGGCTGAAGGAGAGCCAGCCATGCCAGTCGACATCCGGACTTTAGAATTAGCGACTGAAGTGAGGTTGAAATCACCACACCAGAGAAGTGTTCTCAAATGCTGTGTTGAATAGTAACCAGTTGTATTCGTATGGAATATCAAAAATGTTGCTCTATGCTACATCTAATAACACCATATACTTATCATGAAAGTACTCCCTATTCCAAACACAATTTAATCAAGAAATAAAAACTCTGAGGAACCGGAAACCATTGCTCTTTGAATCTATTAAATTAATTAGACTTTTTCTGTCACGGTGATAGAGAAATCAAAATTCGTAATTGACGGGCTGAGAACTTACTCAGTGATTGGAGCATTCATACTAATACTGATCCTGCATTAATAACGGGTCTGGAAAGTGTAAATATCAAATGTTAGTATGAGCTACAACAGAGAAATTTAATTTGGACTATTACAGAAAGGAAAGATTGGCACGCATTTGAGGCAGCACTATTCTGAAGCCGACTATATTGTTTTTTAAGTATCGAGCGTAGGGCCTGTTATCTTTACAGCCATTTTTTTATCTCGCTTCTGACCCTTTAGCCAACGCCGGACCTCTCCGTGACGAGCATTTCTATACTTTGGTCACGTTACGGTAATGTAACACCAGTTTCGCAGGTCCTTTTCAAAGTGTTTTGACCAAGCTAGCTAACGGCATTTCTCGTGAAGGATATATGAAACAGGTATTACTTAATGAGGTGTACTGACGATACAATGAAAAGTAACTCTTATTAAAGAATTGACAAAGCGCACACAGGTGCATAATCCCCAGTGCATGATACAATCCCCAGTAAGCAGTTTACAATGGCGAAACCGTGTAAAACCTGGAGGATACAAAAGAGAAGTGTTAATCGTCGTCGAACAAAGAGAAATACTTCAGTCACTGAAAAAAAAGCTGTAAAAGCTGTAAAGGGCACAAGAACACAACACAAATAGTGTCAATTGTTATATAATCCTGTTCTTAACTTAGTCATTGTAAATTGAAAAGCAAAACTGATAAAATCAGTTCCTTTCGCTTTTCCAACATATTATTTTTTAGATACCGTAATGGAATGCCAACGAAGACGCGAGGGCTATCACAATTCAACAGAGAATAACAAACAAATCTTTCAGGTAATGTACAAATTACACATAACTACGGATTAATGTCCGAAGGAGAGTTTCTGGGCTGCTTTGTTTATCCATTGGTATACATAAATAACCATTATGTCGGATGCTTATACTTACACCTGTCATTTTTTCCCTTTATGGAAGGTGTGTTTCGACCTATTTGGTGTAGTTTGTCACAAAGGAAATTTGGCGACAAGTGGTCATTACGTGGCATACGCCAAAAGAGACGGCTGGTTCCTTGTAGATGATCAAAATGTTAGTCTGTAGTTTTAATACATACAGTTTTAGAATTGTTTTCTGTAATTCTATGGGTTGGAATCATCAAACACGTAATGAACAGATAGAGCCAAAAAATATTAAACAATTTTTAGAGAAGAGTACGACAGTATAAAACATCACAAAGTGTACTTTTACCCCTTCTACATTTGCTGCACGCCCAAACCATATCATGGACATTAACGATATTTTATGTTTAATGTTGGTAAAGGAGAGGGAAGGGGTTAATGTTATAAAGGAAATTTAAACCTTGCTGCAGCATCTCACAAGGACAACAATTCACTTCGCTGAAATTAACATTGAAAAAAAAAAAAAACCTTTTTATAGAATATAACTTTGTTCTATGATCGATATTGCATTTTCAGATTGAAGCTGTGGAAATTGACTAAGTACTACAAAACAGCAAAGATTCGTATATTCTCTTTTGAGAAATCGTCCGCTATGGAATCGTCTTCACAGAATCCATGCAAAGATAATAAAGGTACTAAAAGTACTTCATATGCGTAAGAACACCCAAGGGGAAACATTTTCAAACCGTTGTCTTGATTTACGCTTGGGGAAAATTACACCCATCAAATTTAACTATCAGTAACTAACATGAACTTTACATTCTCGTATCTTATACGTGGAAGTGACTTGCTTAAAATACTGATATAAAAATGAGTTAGTTCTATCGATCAATATTTTAATCAAACCCTCTCCTACTGATCTCTATTAGAAATCAAAGATAACAAACACCACGAACATGATGACACGACCTCCCAAGCAAACATAAAAGGTCCAGAGATATCAACATTCGTGCCAAAGCACATGGAAAATATTTCACGGAGTCTCTGCGTCGTTTTCAGCAGTGGAAGACGGGCTTACAGCACGAGGAATGCTGGTTAAATGACGAGGTGAGCACGAGCATCATTTGAGTATGAGTTACCTGTAGCAAAGAACGACGCTAGCCTAATGAAGGATTGCTCTCTTTGGTTTAAATATAGTTGATATTTATTTAGATAGTGCTCACACTTGTTTCTTTCGGTTCTTTAATTTTTGAGCAAAGAACTAGCTTTACAAGAACATACAGGCACTTGCAATTAACAAACAAGAGCCACAGACCAAGGCCGGAGTTTTAATGATATTGATCCTTACTTTTAGGGGATCAACACATACAACGCCATTCTCGCCAGAAAGTTTGACAAGATGGTAAGCATTGCAAGTAATTATGAAATGAATGACTTATACGACACATGCGTCTCATGGCGCATCGGACGTCAGCTTGTTACAGTGTCTCAAAAAGTGTACAAAACAGTTATGTTTTAATACAAAGGATGGATATCGATGTATAGGATGTTATCAAGCGGGTTTGTGTTGTTCTATAAAATTTTGTCTATAACTATAAATCTACCTGCATTTTATCACAAACGCTGTCTTCCGACTTGGATATTTGTCTCGTAGCAGAAAGAAAGATCAAACAGACATACTTTTATTTCCCGGCTTTCTTTTTAGGGACAATCCGTTCACATCTTCAACTCTTTCTTTTTCCCACGATGGGAAAAATTCCACACAAGTTCGCCGGAAAGAGTACTTCAATCTTTATGCAAGGTAATTTTGTATTTATTTGAACTATTGCCTGGCTTTGGCTAATTAATTTATTTTTCTTACAGTAAGAGTTTTCATTTAGTGTACAAACGTAAACAAAACAAGATTGTTTTGGTTTTATATGCTTCGTTTACCATTACCTCAAGTACCCACAATCAAAAGTACTATGTAGTATCTATAAGAAGGCAGGAATCATATACACAACAATTTGGTCTTGTCTCCTTCTTTGTATCCAATGAATGCGTTGTTGTTCTTCAGTTTTAATGCTTCTGAGCCCGACCGCTAGCGCTTACTCCACCGTTACCATCATTATTATGGGAAACCTTTTCGATGTGCTCGATTAGCAAGATTCTTTTATATGTTAATAATTGTAGGTAAAGTTATTGGAAAAGGAGATATGGGTCATTCCTATCAACCAAAACAAGCATTGGAAAGTCATGGTAAATATACTGAACAATTTCAGCAAGTTTTTCAGTTTTCAGTTTACTATATATCAGTTGAGAAAATACAATCTGATTTATGAGGATGTCACTGTGTCTTTCTTTAGATAGTGAACGTTAACAAAAAAGACGATGTGTCTCTACGATTCTATAGCCAGACACCGAACTGAAGGGACTGTAGAAAAAGACATTTTTCCACTATAAGGTAAGCACCATAATGAGTCACCAGGATAATGTAAGCACAATGTAAGGACCAGGATGAGATCACAGCGGTATCGATACCATAATCTGTCTAAAGTGTTTTGAAATACCTCTCTGTGATAAAATTTGCTCTTGTTAATGTATATTTCACTGTTTTAAAAATATAGGCATTTAATCGAAAGCATTTGCAAAATGTCTGGAAATACATGGGTTCCTAGTGAATGGAGACAGGAAATCGCACAAGAAATTCCAACGCAGTTGAATGCCTTCGATTGTGGTATTTTTTCTTTAAAGGTGAGATATTTAAACCTTATGCTGCTTTTTATTTTTAGTATTTTAATATCTGTTCAGATCGGCCACACACCGAAAAATTTCTCATTTATTTTCAATATGTCATTTATCCTTCAGTTTGTTGACCACGTTATTTCGGGTACACCTTTATCCTTCTGTCAGGTAAGAACATCTCAAGTTGACTATTTTCTAATAAATGCATAATTGAAAAAAATGTAACTTTATTGGTCTCACTAGATATCTTTCCGTCACAGTATGCAAGGATGCAAATCTATGCCTATGTCCATAGCTGTATATATACTGGAATTTAGTACACTGATGATAATTTTCATGCAGAAAAATACAGAACTAAACCATTCAATAAAGATCATAACTTTTAAGACCAACTACAAGTTCAGTTCCTGATGTAAATATTCTTGAAATGTTATGTTATGTTATGTTATAGAATGACATGCCTAGATTTAGGATGGAAATGGCCGATGAAATCAAGGCATCAAGATTGAGGTTTGTAAACTGATAAAACATGATTAAAATTTTAGGGGTAACCTTGGGTCATGACGGACCTTGTGTTAAATAAATCTTTCATTTTCATCCCCAGCGAATACTGCGAGGATATCGAACCATCCAGTGCAGAACAGCCTCCATTAAACGTGTGCTTCGAAGAAACGGAGCCACCTAGTGCAGAACAGCCTGAACTAGTATGCAAAACTCAAGTTCCATTGAACACCAACAAGGATATGTTAGTGGACGGTAATGAGAATCAGTGCCTTTTTGTGACCATGTAGTTTCCCCATTCAGTGGTGATGTTTTTTTATTTGCTAAGCTAAGATTGTGAATGTGTTGAACTTCACGCTTAATGATGCTCATCATTAGATTTATTTATTTTATATCTATTCCCTCGAATAGCCCAATTTCGATATATTAAAATTCAAGTTGAAACAAAAAGACATCACTACGATTCTTGGGGGAATAAACCATATAAATCCTTATATTATTCCCCCAAGAATCGTAGTGATGTCTTTTGTTTCAACTTGAATTTTAATATATCGAAATTGGGCTATTCACGTTTTCTTTGGGTGTCGTGCCTCGCGCGCGGATCGCGAAATTGCCTGTGGGTCTCGCGCGCTGCTCACAAACGCCGTTAGGCAAACTACACAATGTACAAAGATTCGATAAACTACTGTTTTTCTACTTCTCTCCCCTTCGTTTATTTTTGCTTTCATCCACGTATAGACACACTAAACCGTTTAAATGATTTTCGATAAGATGAGAGCGCGAAAAACGGTCCAGTTTTTTCGCAGTGGCTATTCGTACGGCACCCGTACTTGTATTTGCTATTCATACGGGAGTCGGACATTTTCAAACAATTTCGATTTAAAACGCCATTTTGCCGATCCAAAAATATTATCTGTTTGTTTAGATGCACGGGGCGATTCTTGTGAGCGATGTTGATTTCATTCACACTAATTTGTTCAGCCTGTGGTAAAAGTAAGCGAGCGACTGTTCGCGACACTTGACTTTTTTTTACGTCATCATATTACTCCCGCTCGCGTATTATACCACAGGTTGAACAAATTACTCTGAATGAAATCAACATCGCTCACAAGAAACGCCCCCGTGCATCTTAACAAACATATAATATTTTGGATCGAAATTTTGAAAGTTTCGGAGTCCCGTATGAATAGCAAATAGAAGTCCAGGTACGGGAGTTATATGATTATGTAAAAAAAGAACCAAGTGTCGCAAACAGTCGTTCGCGTACTATACCACAGGCTGAACAAATTGGTGTAAATGAAATCAACATCGCTCACAAAAATCGCCCCGTGCATCTAAACAAACATATAATATTTTGGATCGGCAAAATTGACGGACTCCCGTATGAATAGCAAATAGAAGTCCGCGTACGGGTGCCGTAGGAATAGCCACTGCCTTTTTATAAAGCCGCGATTTTGCATTGAACGCCTGGATAAAAAAAAATAAATTTGTCACTGACTACCTGGACTAAACTCGAATGCATACACATTTCAATTTGACTAAACTCGATGTCCATATTTTCCAATACACACATAATTTGGCAGTTTGCTCACAAGAGATTCAACTGAATAACATTTATGCCCGTCGGAATCCTCACACTGGAAGTACACTTCATTTTATATAACCAGTTTGCTGAGATGCAACGAGCAAAACGTCTACGAGTTCTTATTTACTTTTATAGCCCGACGTCCTTAATATTCTTCTCTTATCTTTTTGCCATCTTGTCATTTATCTTGTACAGAAACCCCCACGAATGGCATGTCAACCGATCATGAGAGGGTATTGTCTAATGAAAGTTGCAGTAAAACTTCAGGACCAGAGAGTAATGCGTCAAAAGCAGAGCTTATCACCGTAGAACAGGCTAAATCGTTTATTAACATTTTGAACTCAGATAACAACGACCAGTTGTTCTTTCTTGTTTCCGGCTCCATGTATGAAGATCCGCGACAACTTAAGGACTTAGTAAAAAACATGTGGACTACAAAGCACAAAGACATGCATTTCCTTTTCCGCGTGGAGGATTTGGTGCCGACTACCAACGGCAAAACAAGGTGCGCCGTCTCTGCTAAAGGCCAGCGGTGGGGATATCTGTCGTTAACAACAGATTTGGAGTCGACAAAGTACGGAAGCTTTCGCGCTAATCTACCGAGCAATCTATTGCAATTTTTCCGCCCTGTCTTCGAAGAGGTGGTGCAGCTGACAACAGGCACACGAATGACGAAATATCCACCGAGACCCTCTCTGATCCCTTTCAAAAGTCACATTAAAGATGACGACGATAAAGAAGGTATGTCGAGTAAAAGTAATGATACTGTATAATCATCGTAAAGATAATTTACTTTTTATTCCTTGTTTTTTTCTTTTCAACGAAAAGGATTTTATATCACTTCATATAGAGAGAGAGCCAGCCATGGCCAATGAGAGTTTATAAGCTATTTATAGTCGACGTTTAAACGCTCTTTATATATTTCCAATCGAAAATAGATTAAACACCCATTTATTAAAAAAAAAAAAATAGTTCTAGCGGGGGCGTCAATTTTATTTTGGATAAAGATATTTTTCTGTAGAACTGAAAACATCTCGCTGACTTGACTTAACGGGCAAAAAATTTTATTTGTTTATTTTTAATTTTTTAATTGCCTTTTTAAAAAATTTTTTACGTAGTGCCCGAATGTTCTTGGGTTGGGGGAGCGTGGTGTACTCACTTATATGAGCTGTGCGAGGATGTGCCTCTGGACAGGGTATAGGGTTTTGATCTCTTTGTCCTGAACAGGGTATCCCATAACGTCCCGAAAGAAACTACCCTCGTAGCTTTCAGATCGATTAAGGAGCCTTCGAGGCTTACTTATTTCGGGGTCGTAACTTATAGAAGGTCGCTACCTTAGGGAACCCAAATGCGTTACTGGAAAAAGCTTTTTCCTCCAAAGATTTGGCTGAATTCCGTGAACAGTTGGAAAAAATGAGATGAAATCGGTAGTTCCAGTTTCCTGTTGCTTCCAATCGACATGCATTGTTTCTTCACGTGTAAACCTTGTTCTCAGTGGTCGGCTCCATTTGTTCAAATTTTTCTCGCAGTTCTTTCCTTACCTGACACTGATTCCATAGAAACAAGGAATGTCTCTTTTTTTCTCCTTCTTAAACCAAGGAGTGGCAGTGGGCTCGCTCCAGGGAGGAGAAGCTGTCGCTACTTTCGGGAAAAATTAGCGGCCACAACCTTTTTGACGTTAGTATCGGGGGATCGTTACTTTTGGATCTACACGGTATATTTCTTTACGATTATTTCGTTGGGGAATAGGGTTCATCCCCGTGTTGATTCGACAGTTGGGTTGGCGCCTATTCGGGTAATTCATTGCAGCTTCACTTTAACATGTTTATCAATATTTGTTGCTTAGTTTTAAATTTATTTTGATCCTAATTGTATTTTCAGAGGTGGGAAATTGCTGCATCGGTCTTCTTTTGTGTGCATTGGCTTTGATCGACAAAAAACGATGGGAAAAAGTCACAGCTGGAGCGGCTGATCTGTTCGACGAGGGACCACTTGGCTCGCAAGTGATAGCCAGCAGCATTCTTGATTGTGTTGGCGGATCCAACAAATCGTTGTTTTCGTTGTTTCCGTCAGAATCAGCCAAAGAAAAGTCTGCTTTACGACCCAGCAAGGAACAAAGACGTATCGCCGCCCTTGCGGATTGTAAAAGTACTCAATACGAAGGGTTTTGGATCTCGTCGTGTACGAAGACTGTGAGGGAGTTTGAAAAGGAAGCAGAAGAAAAACTTAGAAGGACACATTGCTCGGGTGATATTGAACAACGCCTGCGAATAGTTAAACATCTAAGTTCTTCGCCATCTAAGATGATGACGGTTGAGGAAGTGACAGATGCCATAGGGATTGTTACGTACCAGAAGGCCCTTGCCTTCCGGAAGCATCTTAAACGGTCATTCCTAACAGGAAGCAACGCATTACCGGTTTACATTAAAGATTCACCCAAAGGAACAGAGCCATCCTTGAGGAAGGAATTAACTCTTGTCATCTTAAAACAAGATTCGGAAAAATCTGCGTTTGAAAGAGCGGCACTAATACAAAACAAGATCGCCCAAAAGTTTTCTCGTCACACCTTAGACCCAAACTTTTCTGAAATGAAACAATCATTTAAACTTTTTGAAGACGAAAAATCCAAAATGATTGGAAAAGCTATTCTAAAGAGCGCTGGATTCTCAGACTCCAATCTTCGGAAACACCTTAATTTCAGCAAAAAGTCCATGGAAAGAGCAACCGATAAAGTGTCCGCTGCAAAAACCGTGCTTCCTGAAATGTGGAGAAAGGCGTTTGATATGGTGAGGTCCCGCTACCCTGGGCGATCGGACAGCAAGCTACTGCCAAAGGCCAAACTAGTTATGAAGAAACTTTGTGCAAGTAAATTACTCGCAAGGGAAAAGTCAGAGCTCGCCCATAGGCCAAGAATGGACTTCGATCCCAAGATTTTGGAAACTATCGTTGAAATTTCAGCTACAAGTTCCGATTCAGGTCATCTCACGCACTCTAAAAGACATTATGACGTGAAATACATCGCTTCCGTCAAGGAATCCGTAGAAACAAATAAGAAACTCTCAGCAGGACGTTTACGCGAACACTACAATTTAATTGCTAGAGAAACTGGAATGCCTACAGCTAGCATTTCCACAGTGAAAAGAAGATGTTTAGCACCTCATTCAGGCCACAACAACAGCCGACACTATTTCAACGAGGCGAAAATAAAATTTGGGAAAGTACCAGACACAGGTACCAGCATTCCTTCTGTCAACATTCAGTATTGTAGAGCATTTGCAAAAATGGAGCAAAGAAGGCCATTTCGCTTTGACGAAAGATTCCCTCATCTCCGTGAATATTCTACAATTAACAGCACCGATGCAAAGGCTCCAGTCATTCTGGGATCGAAAAACTCATTCAAAGTCGGTCGGTCATGGATGAGTTACGTTAGTGAAGATGATCGATGGAGTCCCTTGCAAGAAAAGGATGAAGTTTCTTCGGATTGTACCAAAAGGGACAAGGCTGTTGATGACAAGGTTGTGCCACTTCAAGCGCTGCCTTGCCACGACTACCACTCAGGAAGAGATGTAATAGTTCCAAACACGAATCTATTCATAGAGAAGACATTCAGTGTGGATAGTCATAGTGGACGCGAGTCTGTGTGTTGGTCAGGGACAAAACTGGCCGTCATCGTTTCTCCAAAATTTGAATACTCTAGTGGAGCACTCACGCATGTGAATGAGCGCTATCAACTTCGGCGGTTCGGCGACGAGGAAGTAAAGATGAAAATGACACTTGCTCACACCGATGTTCCCTCAGTTTCACTCCGATACCTACTTGGAGAAATACTTTCTTGGCTGCAGTCTGTTAAAGGAAAAGACAACCTGAAAAACTATGTGACCGACGTTGATGCAACAGAGGCATCGAAACTATCCACGTTTCTTAGAAGTTTGTCAAGACGTCTTATCCAAGTGCCAACCCCACCACTGTCCCTTATTCCGATTTACGAGAAGAATCCGTCACAAATGTTGGAGAAGCTTCTACATACCTTACAAAAAGAAAGGCTGCAGCAGTTATCCATTCAAGTCAATGATTTGGCGACTGGAACGGAACAAGAGGCGTATGAACTCATGCTCGCTATGAAAAACGCTCTCACACAAGATGGATTAGAAGAATGTGCATTTGAAGTAGAGAACGTGGGTCGAATTAAATTCATTAATGCTTTCCAAAGAGTCATTGATCATGTCATCATTAGGACAAGCGGTTTCCCGCTAAATGAACTAGGCACAAGTTATGTAACACTAGATGGATTGTCCTGTTTGCAAAGAACTACTAAACTGATGGATGACTTTTCAATTGGCCCAAACGCCAATAAAGAGATGGTTTACTTGAGGGAGATGAATGGAGCATCTTTAATGTTGGAAATTGCAGAACGCCTGGAGTTAAGTGAGGATCTTTTCCTTGAGGACAACATTGATCAAGCCTCTGCCTCATCTCTGGATGTCATAGAGCTGTTGTCAAGCTATGAATGCCTTGCCGACGGACGAGAAATCTATTTAGCCTGCGAACCAAGGCCTTTTAACTATCGCCTAGTAGATGGAGGACCAGATCAGAAGCAGTCGAATCTTGCAACAAAAATCGCAGCAGCAATAGAATTCCGCATGGAATTGAACGCCCATGCTTGTATCCAAAGAAGAGCGGAAAGGGACAGTGTGGCTAATGAAGCAGAGAGGGAAATTCAATGTTGGGTCGTGCTGCTTCAATAGGATCCTCCATCTCAAATACCACCTCCAAGACTGCTGAAGATTGTATAACGAAGCTAGAAGGCGACTTGCAGGAAAGATCTGTTGACCAAGATGAAATTAAGAAAATTAAAAGCATAGCCACCTCACTAGGCGATGAGTTCCTGGCAGAAATGAATATGTGGTACGGGGCTAAAGAACTAGCCAGTAGATGGAATGGCTTTCCCTGTTTTGGCAAAACCATTTTTGCCAAAACTCCTTTGAGCTTTTATCAACTTCCACTGTCTCACCTTCTGGAGGCTGATATCCAAGCGTACTGTAAAGCTAGTAGAGAGGACAAGGAAACATCCGAAAGATTCGATTGGATCCGTCAAAACCTCAAATGGTATGACCAACATGCTCAAATTTCAACAAGTGGCTACTACGAGGAAAGAAGAGCATGCGGTGATACAAATTGTTGTGGCACAAGAATGTTGCCCCTTGGTGTACCCCAGACACCAAAACCATCAACAACGAACATAAAACACTACGAAAATTCAAGATTGGTACAAGAACTTTTGAATGATGAGGAAGCATTGGAAATCAGACTAGCTGGCCTTAACCTATTCGCAGAAATTCCTGTAGATGAAGAGCGCTATCGTCAAATGGACTATTTTTTACCATCGAATGCTCTTGAAGTTGTGTTTACGCACAGACACGGCTTGACTGAAAAGGATATGGAAGATTTTCAGAAGGTGTTTCCCTGTCCTGAGGAAAGTCTAAAAGAAGAAGTAAGAAAGCACTTAGAAAAGGAGAAAGCAAAGGAAAGGCAGAAGCTGCCAATTTCTCTGAATGAGAAGTTGTCTCCCGATAAACTTCACAGTGAAAGAATTCCGAGGTTAACAGAGACTCTTAGAGAAATCTGCAGTTGCTGCAATGTGGTTTGTCCGTGGAGAGTGACAGGAGTCAAATACGACTTAGTTTCACGAATTATGGAACACTCAACTAAATGTCAAGTCATCGTAGGAAGAGAAATTGAGAAAATGAACCGAGTTTCCGTGGAAAAAGAGCTCAGAGACGTCCCTCTTTACCAACAAGTGGAAGTACCAAAGACGTGAAAGAGCGGCTTGCGAGGGCTCGAGAAAAGAAGTGGCTTCCACCAAAACCGATTCAGGAGGCCCAAAGCACAGCTCAGAGTAATACCGGG